ACAAGGCCTCCTTCACCTACAGTCGCAATAAAAGTTGAGCTCTGGATTGCTTTTCCAAATATCTCAGCTGCCCTGCCGTTTTCCAATGGATGATACATCATGTACAAGATACCGATAAAAGAGGCTTCTTTCCTTCAAGTTGAAGATATAATACTAAATTTGAACATATTGAAACAAGCAATAAATAATATAAAGTCTGCAGTTCAGTTTTAGCATTTGGGCTCAGTTGCTGTCATTACTTCTTTTATGAACTTTGAAATACAACTGTAAAATTTCTTTTACCAATGTAGGATATTTCTGTCCTTTACTGATTACACAGGCATGTTAAAAATAATGTTATCTATTAAAGTTCAAAACACTCTCTTGATTTAATTCCACTTATTTTTATTTTATTGTCAAAATTTACTTATCAGGTTATAGGTCACTCTTTCAGCAACAATAACTGGTTTCCTCATTTAGAACTGAGACCAGGCTTATTGACTTATAGGGCTCCAGCAGCTATTTTACTTTATGCTGATTTTTTTTAAAGTTGTTCTCTATGCCTCATTGAATCTTGCAGTGATTTTACTGTTCATTTTAAGGCTTAAAAAACATTTTGCTCTCTGTTAAGCGCTTGCCTTCCCATTTACTGCAGGTCAGAATTTGACAGCAATTTTTTACTGTGCACTGAAGCATGCACCATGTTAAAAGATGCACAATAAGCAAGAAGGTTTCTTTACCATGTCTCTCCGGTGATTCCAGCTCTAGGAATGCTTCCCATTGGAACTTAAAGCATTTTACAAGAAACTTAAATATCAGATACATTTTACAGATGAGTAGACAAAAACACAAAGGGCTGACATGATTCAGCTACATTAACCACACAATGTGGTCTAGCTCAGCCTTTAACATCCAGACTAAATTTTCACAGATACAATACCTACTTTGTGAATAAAACAAGAATGGTGATATGAATACTGATATTTATTAATCATTTTCTCCTGAATGCTATTCACAAGCTACCTCTCTGATCTGTAAACATTTGCCTATTCTATAGTTTGGGATTTTTTTCTTGTTTGGCTTGGTGTTTTTTGGTTGTTTTTGTTTGTTTGTTTTAAAACAACCAAATAGTTGTGTAGTTCAATAGTGGCTCTCACGTGGGCATACATACAAGGAAGTCTTGAGCCAAGGAGTTGGCCAAAAGGAGGTCTTGATATAGTGACTTGCTTTGCTAATTGTTCAGATGGATCCAGCATAATAATTGGATAAAGAGATGTGTATTCAAAAGGCTATCCCCTCAGCACTCCTCACTGATGTAAATCTGTAAAAAAAAAAACAAACAAAAAAAAACCAATCACAGTGAAGGCTTAAACAATTTCTGACATTTTAAATTTTTGAAAAAAAAAAAAAATCTTTTGCCTCCTGCCATTTTTATGTGCTGTCATTTCCTTAAGTGCTATTTGGAGATTTTAGTCCAAAATGTGTGTCTCTTGCCTAAGAGAGAAATATAATTCAACAACATAGGCATTGTTTTCAAATATGCAATATTGCTAGATTCCATTGCTAGATTGTAATGAACAAGTCAACTGATAAGTGGAGAAGAGTTTTCTTGACAGAAATGTCATATTATGTTTGCATGTCTCTGCTTTTACTTTTTTGTCATTCTGCTGTTTAGTGTATAACTAACCCAGGGCAGACGCCTTTTAGTAATTTTTTTTTTGGAGTTCTGTCTTCAATACTTATGTGACATAAATTTATATCCATAGTGTTCAAATAAAATCAGAGAGTCATTGAATGGTTTGAGTTTGAAGGGACCTTAAAGATCATCTACTTTCAACCTCTCTGTCATGGACAGGGACACCTTCCACTAAAACAGGTTGTTCACAGCTCCCTCTAACCTGGTTTTGAACACTTCCAGGGATGGAGCATCCATCATGTCTACAGACCACTTATCCAGTGCCTCTCCTCCTTTGCAGTACAGAATGTTTTCTTTAATCTTCTGTCTTTAATTTAAAACCTTTCCTCTTGTCTTATCATTACATGCTTTTTCAAAAAGCCCCTTTTCATCTTTCTTGTCAGATGTTTCAGTTACTAGAAGGCTGCTATAATGTCTCATTGGATTCTCTTCTCCAGGCTGAACAACTTTGATTTTCCCAGCCATTCCTCATGGGAGCCTTCTGCTCACCTTCAACACTCAATGGCAAACATTTTCAAACGGGACTTTTTCTAAGTGGTCTTTACACTGACATTGTTCTCAGCTTGTGGTTGAGTGGTTCTTGGTGGTTGACTACACTACACCCTTTAAAGAGGAAGGCAAAAATGGTCAAGTTGTTCATAAAATCATTAGTGAAATGTCAGAAACAATTTAGTATAAATAAAATATTTCCCTGAAGATAAGAAGTACCCATTATAAGACATTTCTTCCAACTACATTTCTATGCTATTGAATTAATCAGATAAGAATTGGACACTTGACAAAAACGAAATGGCAATATGTAAGATAGATATCTCTAGAATGTTTTCTCTGTAAAAGCAAAGAGAAAATAGGACCTTTGATTTTGGGAGAGAGTGAAAGCTTGGTTTCATTTGAGATATAAACTCAGACTGAAACTAAGTTAAACATATTCTTCATTGTGGCACCAAATTAAGCTTGAGTTTAAATTAAAAAAAAAATTAAAAAGCCAATAAGTGATAAATAATTTCAGTATGGTGTCAATTGTTTATACTGTGACACACTATTGTAATAGTAGCATTTCTTGCAAAGTGTGCATGTATCATAGCAGTTTACCTTACTGAGTCTTCTCTAGCAATGGAACAATTTGAGAGTAGGTTTCACCCCTTTTCTAGCTTTTTTATCCTGTCTGAAAAAGAAGCTTAGTTCTCTCCTCTATCTCTTGTCCTTGAGACCAAACAAATGCCCTTCTGATGAAGCAGAAAGGAATCCCTCCTGCACTGGTGTCAGGGTGTGATGATCTGCAATATAACAGAGGGAACAGTTGATGCAAAGACTAAGTCCAGTGAGGGAAGCAGAACTTGGCATGGGAGAGCCAGGAAGCCTTTGGCAGGGCTCAAATTTGTATTTTAATATGGGAAAATATAGCTGTTGAGACTGACTTGATCTCAAAGGTCTTTATAATTCAGATGAATATGACTACTTTAGGCTACTTTAAAAACATGAGCTGCAGGATTTTCCCTGGTTTTCAGAACCAAGGAAGATTGATGTTTGTACTTCTGTTGTGCCTAAATATTCTGTATGACTAAAATATTTGGCACTGTTCAAAAGGATCTAATATTGAATGGATTGCCTTCATCTTTAACCCTTTCACAAAGAATTTGGTTAACACTTCTGGGTCTCATGATCTGATTTCGTACTAAAACACCTCCTGGTTTCAGGAACTCAGTTTAAGGGATTCTTATTTAAATGACTGTAAACTTTGAATGGCAAAAAATGTAGTTTATGTACTTTCTGTTTTGATTAGTATTTGATCCAATTCATTATTATACATCTATTGATATAGATGTATAAAAGTCCAGTTTGAGACTCGGTAAAGCAGAGTTTTTACATCTCTAGCTTCATTGATAATATGCTCAGTTGTTACTGAATTAGCTTTCAGAATCCATTGTGGTAGTGACTAACAGTTACTGATGCCTTTATGATTCAATTACAGGGTATTTGATCAATATATCTAACAAATATTTTGTTGTATTGAAGACTTACATTCATTTGCAAATATTGATAAGACATTATTTTGTTGACACTGGCTATTAAAACAAAGGGGTTGACATGATGGTCTTAGGAAGTGCATAATGTAGACAACTCCCGTTTTGTCCTGTCAGGATCATGTAAAATTCAAGAGTGTTTCAATAGATGAATCATAACAGAAGGTTTTATACCCTAGTACAGCAAATATCATATAGCAAAAAAGGAATTGAGATGCTTTGAAGTGTTATCCTTTTTAGAAAATTTAAAAAAAATGTTTCATGTTTACAAATGAGCTGGCTCTTTCATGCCTTAATTATATGTGGTTGTCAAGGCCTCAGAAGTCCAGTGTACTCTTAGATGCAACATTTTCTGTTCCTCATAGCAGGCATTACGTTGTGCTAACAAGGCTAGAGTGCTAAAAACTGGACCTGAATCTTTGTCTCCTTCATTTTTTCCATCATTTTCTCCAGCATGAAGATTTATCATGATACTTACTGATATCAGAATACGTGGTCATTCATTCTTTCCCCCTTAATAAATATTTATTTATTTGATCAAGATATCATGTCACCTTGCAAAACTATCCATGTTGTGATTAAGGTGCTGTTTGGACAGATCTCAGACACAGCGGTCCCACTATTATCTGATTGAAAACAAAAGCAACCCTGCTACTTAAATACTAGCTAATACATCATTAAGCAATTCACACCAGCCTGGATCTTATTATTATAATGAAATGTGTACCCACAGAATACAAATGCATAGATCTTGTTATACCTCCATGACACAAAGAGTGATATGTTGCTGATTTGCCAACAAATTAAGATCTTTCTAACCAAACAACACTTAGACTGTAATTTACTGCAGCTTTTCATGTTTTGATGGATAGCTGCAATTCAAAGGATGAATTGTGGATTATAAAACTGGCTAAGTTAGGATGTTTTTCCCCTTTCCCCACAAATGTAGATGAAAACTGTGTCATTTCTATACATGCATCTCTATGTACACAGTTTTCCATAGGGTCGCTATATACTCTGTTACATTTGGATTTTGTGTGGGACCAAGTATGTACAAAACAAAGACTAAAGACCACTCAGGCTGGCATTCACTTCATGAGAATATCAAATCAACTTAGGTTTAAGTATGCTCTTCTAGAATCAAGGCAGAGGAGACAAGTAATAAAAAAATCTATTTACCTTGTTTATACAGAAGAACAGAATCTAATTTATTTGTGCGCCCATCTGGACTAGATTGCTCATTTTAAGTTAATTTAACAAATGATAGACTGCTACTGGCCTTTTTTTTTGTATTTTCCCAGGAGAAGAGGTTGACAGGCAGCTGTGCAGAGATGCCATCTACCCCATCCCGGTGGTGTGCGAAGCGCCGTGCCCGAAGGACTGCGTGCTCAGCGTGTGGTCTGCCTGGTCCTCCTGCTCGCACACCTGCTCCGGCAAAACCACAGAAGGGAAGCAGATGCGCTCCCGCTCCATCCTGGCCTATGCAGGGGAAGGTAAGGGCTCACACGCTCCTCTTGGATTGTCAATCCTCAATTGCCTCTGTAATGTCAAATTTCTTGATTGACAGAAACAAATTACTAGGTCACATTGTGGGTTTTTCTATATAGCAAAATTGTTTAAATGGTTGTCCTACATGTACTCCTGGTACCTAAAGCTATTTTAAAGAGGGTTTATTTTGCTTGCTTCAGTTAATGTTACTATAATTTTTTAGTGTGCCTAATGTTACTGTTTCTATTTCAGATATACGATTTTCTTGTTTTCATTAAAATTAAACAAGACAAACAGTTCATCAGATACAGATTAGCAACACTAATTTATGTCCAATTTGGAAAGGTATAAGTATCCTGAATGCTGAAAAGATGAATTTCAATGGTTCAAATATTAGCAAAAGGGTTTTGTAGTTTCTTTTCTCTAATTGGTAATTTCTGTTACCCCATTAACATTGTTATTCATAGCAAAACTTTGGGTTTTGCCCTGCAAAACCTTGAATGGTTTCCATTTATTCAAGTGATCCTTGTGCAGTGTCTGCAGCATTATGCAAAGAGAAGACTTAGCTAGAATATAAAGGAGAAGACAAAACAGGTTTTAGATACAGGTTCATGGCTATTCTTTGATGATTATCCATGTTTCCTACAACTCTTTTTGTTTTGGTTTTAAGTATTTGGAGGGGTGGTTGGGTTATAGACGAAATGTATTCTGTACATAACATGGTTCAAACATGGACATGTCAAGTGTGCCAATGCCTCGTGCTACACCAGGAGCCAGGAGACATAGCCACTAAAGGGTTCTTGGGAGATGTTTACTCACATATATTACTGACAGAAAAGTTAAATGCCTCAATATAAAAGCATTACATGTATGTGTTAGTTCTTCTTTTAAACTATTGACCATTTTATTATTTTATCTTAAGAACAAATTTAGCTGAAAAATGAAAGCTGCAGGTATGGAAGCAATGAAATGGAATAGCTGTACACTTTGCTGTTTGCAGACACGGCTAACATTGCTAAAAGTGTACTGTGTATTTGGCAGAATTTGGGTGATTGTAAAAAAAACAAGAGCAGTTTCAGCCTTTTCTCTGAAAGGAATCTTTGCTAGAAATGTAAGTGGCAATCAGAACTGTACTCTATTTTAGTAAGTGATGCAAATAATAAACTACTTAGATCTAATGTAACAAATTAGAAACACTTCTAAAATTATAAAAAAATTTGGTTTGTGGTGCCCCTATTTTTTTATATGGAGTGTCAAACAGACTCATTTGGGTGAAACACAGAGCCATATAATTCAAATAAACATATATTCATGTGCTTCTTGCTTGTCCCTGTAGGTCAAGACAATAGATTTTCTATATACTTTTGTAATTTTGCTGACAGAAACTTAAATCCTGACAAGCATGCCATAGTTCAAAACCTAAATTACTGGAAAAATTATTTCATTTTCTTATGCTTAATCTTAAAAAGTACTTCTTATTCTGACTTTGATACTTAGTACAACCTAGGTTAATTTACAAGGCTGCAGATGCAGCTAAGCTGTTCAGTGCCACCTGGATTTTGGGTATGTGAATTTTATTAATATTTGTTGTGTCATGATCAGAATCAGCACAGAGTGATCACAGACTGACAGATCTCAAACCACAGAGGCTGTAGTGAAGAAATCCCTAAAGTAAGGTTGAGAAAGCTAATGCATTACCTGGGTGTTTTAGTGCTTCAGCTTTGCTCAAACCCTGGCTTCTTTCCCTCTATTTCAGATTAAGTTATTCTGTGCTTTTTTTAAGGATACAAGCTGGTGGGTCTACCCAGCTTACTGAGGAGTGCACTCACATCTCAATCAGATCTCTTCAATACATTGCTTCTTTTTGCACTCATACAAACTCCAGAGAAGGAAAGTATATAAATACATGGAAGAACCTTCCAAGGCTTAGGGTATTTTTACAACTTTAGCTGGAAAATACTTTTCACCTTTTCTTGTATTATATTAAAAATCTATCAGTTTAACATTTTTTTATGCTTCAGTGGAATTAGAGTTATTGTCATCTTCCTCCTCATACTCCTCTTATGCCTCTTAGTCATTTGTTATGTGACAAAAAACAGAATGACTTTTCACCTCCAGAATCCCATGACCAAGATCAGCTGTGTTCCAAAAATATAAAATACTGGGTGCTGGGAGGTCGTTTCTTGTTTTAGGAGCACAGAATATATTAATGTATTTGAACATCTGTATTCTACTCATATAAAAGGAAGCTTCACATGAACATTTTTTGGAAAACATGCAGTTCTCTGTTCTATTCAGAACTTAGAAAAATGCACAAAACTATAGATGGAAGCTCTGTAAGCATCATGTAAAACTAAAAACTCCACATCTCATAAATGTAAGACCGATAATTCCATCTACACATTAAAGCTGAGTTCTGAAAACAGCTATCAGTTCTGTTCAGGTGAACATTCACACAAGTTTTCTTTTGGACTACTGAACCTTTTCTTGAGCTGTTGGTATGAGAGACAGACCAGGCTAGGAAAGCTATTCCATAGTAATTTCTGTATCCTGTTGCCTTGAGTTTTTACCCAAAACACAATAGGACAAATATATACTATTCCTATTATATATCAGGATTGGATATTAATTAAAGAAAAATATGCAAGACTGTTGCAAATCCATGAATAAGGATAAATTTGTATTCTAAAATGACATAAGGAGTCCACGTGTGAGTCCTTGATCACACACATCCTCCTGCTAGTCATTCAGTGCACAAGCCTAGTAAGATCAAAGCAATGCAGGCATTGCATGCGCAACGAATACTGCAATCCATCAAAGTATCTGGTACATTTAATTCTCATTCATTTGGGTACTTAAACATGAACACCCCCTAAAATTTTTGAGGATCTATAGATACATGTGAAATAGGTTTTTTATCTGGCACTCAGATGGCTCTTTATCAAGTATTATCTGTGATTCAGTTTCTCTCCTCTTTGAAATGAAAAATACTATATTCTACCATTTTTCTTGTTAACATTGGCATATAACTGTCTGTACTAGAGCTATGTCATTTCACAGTTAAGAAATTTTTTTTTCCTCTTATTACCCATAAATCTCAGCTGCTGAATTGGTTTGAAGAAACCATCAAGTTAACATGACTGGCCACCAGGAAAAAAACACAGTCTAATAATTTTTTAATATGATTTAGAATAGGAATAATTCAGTAGTATTGTAATAATTCCTCAGTGTAAAGAATAGGTTCACAGAAAAACTATAAGCCATACGTAAAATACAGCAAATATAAGCCATATGTAAATTACAACAGTGACAAAGTTTTCTAATGAGCTCTGGGATACCAACTGGCCCTCTAGCACCCCACTGATTTCTGCTTGAGCCAGGAGCTGACCTCAGTTGTACCCCTCTCATCATCATTTCCTCATTCCAAACAAGACCCTTTTCATGTGGTCAAACCACACGCTGCAGAGCCTCGAGCACGGTGTTGTCATGGACATCTGGGATTGGCTTATTTACTTGCATTCAGAGGAGAGAGAAAGGGGTCTCTTCACAAGATAAAGACTTACTGTGCTTTGTGAGATGACTCCATGTGGAAATGAGTGTCACAATAACAATTTTTTGATATTTTTTCTGAGATCATTGTCCTCAGCTTGAAGGTTTGAAAGGCAAAGGGATTTATAAATTTGACTGTCTGTGAGACTGCCTATAGTGTTAGCTCATTTGTGTCACTGTCAAATATATCTTCATGGTACAGTAAGAAACTCAGAAAAGTCACTGTCTGAAAATATAAAATGACAGCAAAGGACATAGTGATGTTACCTAATACATCATACAGTTGTTCTGCATAAATCTAGTAAGGTATTGTATACAGCTCCGCCTATTTCTTGAATGTAGGATGTGTCTGCTTTTGGTTTATATACTGCTTAATATTTCTGTTCTTCTTTTTATTCCCTGCTTACAATAAATCTTATGTAATGAGTAGTGTGCACTAAGACTGTTTCACATTACTACTGGACCTGAGACTAAAAAGAATTGAATTAATCTCAGCTTTTCAGTAAGTAATAAATATGTAGATTGATTCTGTTTTGATTATAAACTGCGATAGATTGGAAAATTGGTGCAATACAGCATAACAGTAAATTCGTGGGTACATCCTAAGTTTTATCAGTAAAACCAGTTTTGGAAAAGTAAAGATTTAACACCCCACCTCCCAAAAAAACCCCAAACCAAAATGAAAAAAACAAAACTCGAATGCAAAGAAGAAAATAAGATGACAAAAAAGCTTAATTTATTAAAATGAGAGGGAAGGAAAATTTTTTTATTATTATTCTCTTAAGGCAGGGATGCATATGTGCAGCAGTGCTTTGCTGTGGGTGTTACATGCTCATAGATCAGCAAAGTGTAATGCCAGAAGGACTCTTTGGCTTGACCATGTAGCACAGAGCACTAAACATCATGGTTAGATAGTATAGAATATTAGTTGTCCATCTCATCAGATACTCTGTTTGACAGGGACCAACAGCTCTTCTCGTTTGTCTGCAAGACTGATTTATTGAATATGTAAGAAATAGCGGGAACAAAGGAATTTCTTGTCAATACTTAACAGATGATTGTTGATATGCTTTAAAATTTTATTCCTGTTAAACTCTAATACAGTTTGACTTCATAGTTGCAAACAAGTTATGCATAGGGTTTTTAATGTATTTACTCTTCCTACATTTATTGAGTTTTTTTTTTAATTTTTGTATTTTCCTGGCTTGAAATAACAGTGCTTGGTAATTAAATCTGAAAGCACAGAATTGAGTATTTATTTCAGTAGCAATTTGCTCATTCACAAAATAATAAGTTTTGGAGAACGTGAGTTTTTTCATGAAACAGGAATAAAAATACCCACTTAGTTTTGGAACTATGCAACCTGAATTTTCAGGCAAGACTTACTAAGTGACCTGACATCTGTGTGAGAAAGGTGAGCTAGAGCAGGGTATGTTACTGTTCTTCTTTTGCTCAGGAGCCCATCAGCTCAGATTGCTGAATGTAGTGAGGGTCAGGGGTTCATAATCTATCCTGTTAAAGACTTGAGGACAGACCTTGCATTCACCATGAGTCCACTCTGCATCCTGACCTGTTGTGTGTTTTGGACAGGTCTGCTTGGTTTGTGAAACTGATATAAACCAGGGGAGGAAGCATCAATGTTTGCAGAGCAGGAACAGTCTCGGTTCTGACTGTGTCTGTCTTCAGGAAGTGCAGCTGCCTTGAGAAGTGCCTACCTCCTGTCTACAGCAAAGAAATGCTGTACATTTCACACCCATTTCACTCACTAGAATACAAGAGGCACTTCAGTCACATCTGTTTTCTCAAACTTTAAGACTATTCCAGCTGTTTTGAAATGCATTTATAAAACTATACACATTTGCAAAAACAAGTGATATCAAAATGATTAATTAAAATGATCCTAAATATTTTAAATAAATGTTTAATGATTTGAAATTTGAAAGTTATCGAGTCAACATTGCAAAAAAAGATTTATAAAATCCAGTCATTGAATATCCTTGAACAAGGTGTCTTACCAATTAGCAGCTCCAAACCAGGCAGAAAAGCAATCCAAGTGCATGACAATTCTGTCAGCTGTTTTATGAGCAATATGCAAGTCCCTCTGCAAAGCTACCCTTCCCTTCCAAGTCTACTTTGCTTAAAAATTCAAACCCAAAACTAAATGCTTCAGGCCCAATTGGTTATTGAATCTTTGAAATTATTATTTTTAGTACTGCCAAGAAGTTATTTACTGCCATTTGCTCATCTTTTATTGTAAAAGGATGTGTTTATTATTGCATGTCCCTTTTTGCTATATTCTGATGAATTCAAATGTCTGTTTTATTTTCTTTATGTGATACTCATTAACTTTTTCATTCCTGTCAACCCTCTTCTCTACAGGGGATATGCTCATAAAGTTGTTACCCCTACACAGATGTTGTAAAGGGCATCTCCAACTGCCAGTTTTCCAACACCTTCTGCTTTTTCTGTACCTAGTTAAATTGAAGGAAGCACAAGAGAATGCTGTTTTCCTGGACAGAATGGCACATTGATTTTTATTTCAGTAGTATTATTTCCACATTTTGTTCAGTCTTTGCATGTTTTTTAACTCATGGTTTAATCTGAACAGAACTGGATTCCCACTGAGCTGCAGACATTCATGCCCCAATGTTTTTCACTTACAAGTCAATGTCAATCTCTTTTTTCCCCTGAATATATATTCTTGCATAGCTGCCGAAACTGAACCCAAGTCGCTTTATTCTCAAATGTCTTAAGAACTGGGGCCTGTGGCGTTCAATTCTGGTAAAATATTTTTTCATACACACCCCCTTTAATTTTTGAATTTCATTAAATATTTCCCTTGTGTTATTCTTGATCTAACATCAGATGAAAATACTTAATTTATTAACCTTCCTTATATCTCTCAAAATTTTCCTTCGTTAACCTTTTTAATGGAGGAACATGTCTAGACTCCTCACGTGGATCAATTCTTTCTTCCATGACAAATTGTGACTTTATTATTTTCTTCTCTTCAAAATATACTCACTTTCCTAATTTATTTGCTTATATTCCTGTCATCTGGTGTTAGCTGATTTTTCTTTTTCTTGAAGGATGACGATTAGATAACTTTATGAAACTTATTACATAACTGTAATTTCATGTTACCATTTTTTAAATTTCCTTTTTTAAGGAAATGCATTTGGCATTTTGGTTTTTTATGCTCTGCACACTGACATATATTTTAAACAAATCTGGTAGACTTGAGTTGCATCCATTTTGAACCAAAAAAAAAAAATCAAGTTATTCTTTAATTAGATTCACCTCTTTGTAGATTTTTCTAATCCCCCTTTGCAAAATTTAAGATTAGCTAGTCTGTGGCATGACATCTCAATTAATATGATGTTTCCTGTTACTTGGTTAAATCAATATTTTTAGGAAAAACCAAAAAATAAAATATTCCTAGAGAAATAAATTGAGAATTAAGATTTTATCTTATGTTTTCATTAGAATGAACCTTTTCTCGTGTTTGCTGCAGATCTAGACCATGCAGAATAACCTAGGATAGAAAGTATTTTTATACTGGCAATTTGATTTTCTTGTGTTGGAGTATTTGAAGCATCCATTGTTTCTTTGATTACATTTACTTTTTTTGTTTAATTTCAACAACGGATACTTAAAACCCCTTCCCCATATCTGTGGAGCAGACAGTCAACCTGAAGTTCAGTGTTGGGGTATAAATAATATACTCTAAAACATGCATTTGGTGGGAGGATACATTTTAGAGAAAAGTCATACGGATGATCAGCATTAACTAATAAAAAACTCCTATTTCAATTGTCTCTCTTACTTTTCTTGTATTTTAGGAGAGGATAAAATGTTGCTTAGATTTTTTTTCTGCCTTTCCATCAGTTGGAGGTAGGAGTCCCATTGTTCCTTTAGGCCAGAATCTCAAACCTAGGTTCGAGTAACCCCAGATATTTAGCAAGCATTATGTCTGCTCACAAGGCTGGACATGGAACAGCCTTGATCAGCTCTGGTAGGAAAGACCTCTTCATTTCTCCTGGAGGACTGGGAGGCCAAAGTAGGTTTGAAGTGCTTGTATATAATGAACTGAACATACTATCAAAGAAACTAAACACAACAAAGATAGCATTATCTGAGCTTTTCTTTACAATCATTGACACCTGATTGCATTTTAATCTTAACCTGCAATAGGCTTTGTTATTTTAATCTGGGCTTGGAATTGCCAGCTGTGCCATCCTCTTTGGTTTACATAATATGGATAAACATCCACTGGGAGCTAGGACAAGAGCTCCAAAAATCTTTTCAATTCATCTGTGAATTAGACATAAACAGTGGTCATTACACATGTATAATTAGAGTAATTAACCATTTCTTCTGTCCACAGCCTTCATACATCCTTAAGTGATCTCTTGCAGTCTCTTCTAGAGAAGCCTGAAATAAAAAGGCTGTAGATCCCTCCAAGCACATTAGTGTTATAGAAGTTATGACTATTTTGTTATCCTTTTGGTACAGACTTACATTCTGTCCATGAACAGTTCTGTGTGGCTTGTTGACCGAAATTTGTCAAAGTCAATATTGGGCATATGAAGAGGAGGAAAAGGGGAGCAGCATTTCTTTCATGTAATCAAACTGATAATATATAATTAAGAAAATTTCAAAGCGGGTTGTGGTATGTGTTTTTTTTTAAATAAAAATTGTATCTCCTTCCAGTGAAGGATCATTTGCCCTCTTTTATTGTTCCAGGAGGAACACAGTGCCCGAACAGTAGTGCCCTCCAGGAAACGCGCAGCTGTAATGAGCACTCTTGCACTGTGTATCATTGGCAGACTGGCCCGTGGGGACAGTGCATAGAGGACACGTCTGTCTCTGCTTTCAACTCCTCTGCCAGCTGGAACGGGGAGGCCACCTGTTCCGTGGGGATGCAGACAAGAAAGGTCATCTGTGTGAGAGTCAACGTGGGACAAGTAGGCCCAAAAAAGTAAAGATCTTTAAAAGTATCTTCACGCTGTAATTATGTTTGGATTTTACTGCTTTATATTTTTATCACCAATGACTGCTTGCAAAGGCAAAAAGACCCTCTTCTGTGTGCTCTCATGAGGGGACATTTCACCTTCTAAAAATACAAAATTTGCACAACAGGAAGACTGATAATACCTTTCTCAGTATGGATTTTAATGGGTGATATTTACGATGTTGGTCCTGCTGACAGCTGAATAAATCCAGTTGGGTCCTTAGCATCATCAGGTTGAGTCACAATAAAATTCTTGGAGTATATGTGTGAAATTCAGTGCAGCAACATTTCCCAGATCCTTGTGTTGTCCAAACAAGCAACACACTGTATGGATCAGTGCAGTTCCGCCCAAAAATAGTGATATGAATCTAAATACACTAAAGCCCTTCTCAGAACCAGACCAAGGAGCTGCAGCATAGTGGAAAATGGCATGACATTAATTTGAAACAGTTTGAACATTAGTTTGACAAACGTTGTGATTTTTTTCCCCATTTATGTGGTTTTTTAAGTTATTCCTTGGCCCAATGATTTGGTTTTACAGTTTCATGTGTTACCAGGGTTAAATACAGATTAGCTGCTAGTAAAATGCGTTTGATAATATCTTTGTAGGGATTTGCAGTCTGTAAATATATCCCACTTAGAAAAGATTCAAAACTCTAAGAACTGGTAGTAGAGGTCATTTAGAAAGTTCATGAGGCAGCTATTTTCATGCAAAATATTTCCTTGATGCTTGCAATTTGCTGTTTTATTCAGCTCTAGATTTAAGCCTAATTTACTTTAAATGGAAATGTGGGGAGTAATGTCTGCACACTGAGTAATCTAAATTGTTGTGTATCTGTGTTAAGTTGCTGTTCTATTTAGTCATGATAGAATTATCTTTTGTTTGGTACATTTACATAAAAAACTGCACCTCTAATGATTTATTATCCTCTTTAAATCTACTGTAAATGCCTTTACCTTTGATTTGATGTTATGTTCTGGGAGAAGAACTGTTTTATTTTTTCATAAATGAATCATGTGAAGTGAAAAAAGGTCTTGGTTGTTCCTTCAAATTGTCACATCAAAATCACTGAATCATTTTTAAAGACCCAGACATTTAACATGAAAATGTAAATAGGAACCTTGTTTTAAACTCCCCTTAATAAAAAGGATTACTGTGGTATGATACAATCAATATTATTGGCCTTATCTGCCTCACAAGTTACAGACTCCAGCATGTATCTTTTCTGTTTAATTTGACCTTGAGTAAGGACTGCAAAAAAATCAATACTTTGCTTTAAGCCATATATAGTAAACACAAACAATATAAAGCATAGAAACGGTGTTCTAATTGAACTAATTGCCTTGCCTAAGTATCTGAAGAGCAATTGTAGTGTTTAGCAAGATGAAGCTCTCTGTGAAATGGTGAATGTGTGTTTTGTATGCTTATAATTTCTCCCGTTTTTAAAGGGAAAAGCCAATGCAAGAAAAGTCATTAGCAAGCCAACATTCAACGCTTTTCAAAAACATATTTTAACTTTAATCTTAAAGAAAATTTCTGACAACATTGTCAATATATGTGACTGAAAGCAGAGGTTTTTTTTTTTTTAAAGTGTATCTGATCACATCTAAACACACCCTTGCATTTAGAATCTGATTTTATGAATCACATAGAACTGAGGCACAAGTTGACTTAAAATTGTAGAGAGAATTTACATTAGGGTGATGGAAATTTGTGTTACTATAGCTGTATTATTTCATGTTTTTTCACATTGGTGAGAGGGGAAAAAAGAGAAAGGGGGGAGATCCCATTTTAAGAGGAATTGCTTGTTTATAGTAATTGATCACATACTGAGAAGAATATGTGAATTGACAGGAAAATGCAGAGATAACTGATGGAAAGCCTGCACAAGCAAGTATTATTGTTGAAGAATATGTTCCTGTAAAACTGCAAATCAGCTTTTGTCCTCCTCACATTGCAGGGGCATAGTTCTCTGCTGACCATGGAGACTAGATTTTCCTGATAGTTTACCATCAGACTTGCCTCTCTCTCCTCTCTGGTCCCAATTACCCTGAACTGAAAAGAGGAAAAGCTAATCATAGTAATGTTTTTCTGTAATGATCCAAAAGCTCTCAAACATGGATGTGATGTTTTTCTTACATCTTTACATATTCTTCAGGCAGTCCACAGTCTGTATGTTTTTGGAGCAATGGAAATTTTGAAATTATTTCAAACATTTTCAATACTTCTACGAGAGTTATTGTATCATTCTGAAACGAGTTTTGTGGCATAGAGAGGTGTTTTTCCTTGATGAAAAAAGACAAAATCCCCACAGAATGGGGAAAATGACCTGGGTAATGAGTCCCATATGTGGCAGTCCAGTAATCCTTTTTATATGCTGATCAAGCCTCTTCCTAAAACAAGTAAGGTTTTCTGCCTTTTCTGACAGTCTTTCTCAGTCTCATTGATCTGGCAGCTTTAAATCTTTTTCTGGTTTCTCTCATAATCACAGCCAGCTTATACCTATTTGTTCCTGGGTTAGCAGTGTTATTTATTTTAAATACGCCTCATTCCAGAGTTTATATCTGCAATAAAATGATGAGACCTGAAATATTTTACGAAGGTAAATGCAATGGCTTTTCTTCATAATTATGTGAAAACTTGGAAAAACTCCTGAAACTACAGAGTCTAGCATGGTGAGTGAGGGATGATGATTATTTAAATCCTGAGGCGCAGAATACACCAGATTTGGCTTGCTTTCACCACATGTATTTAATTTCTACTAGTTTTTATAGCTGTGCTCCATCCTGGTGAATTCTGGGCAACAAGCACTGTCCTCATGTGCCTACAGGCATTGAGTACCTCACATGATTCACTACTTCATTGCAGAGTGATTGTTCATTTGATAATGCTTCTTTGTAATTTTTTTTTTTTTGTTAGATGCCCTGAAAGCCTTCGACCTGAAACTGTGAGACCTTGTCTGCTTCCCTGTAGGAAGGACTGCATTGTGACTCCATTCAGTGACTGGACACCGTGTCCTTCCTCATGTCAAGAAGGTAATGTTATCCATTGTGTGCTAATAAATTTTAAGAATGTAAAAGATAGGGAGTCAATTACTTACAATCATTTTTGGCAGAATGCTTATACACATCTCTTTCTGACAGAGGACATGTAATACATGGTAGAGGTGCTGCAGGGAGGACAAAGTTTTTGCTGAAACAAACATTTATTTCTATCCATTTTCTATATGCATCTGTTTGGATTTTTTTTTCCTCATTTGCCTAGTGTTACAAACTCCCATTTACATCTTATAGTGATAAAGAGATAACTAGTTACGAGGTGAACACATAGCTCTTATCATCAGCTTATCATCTTAACATTGATACTTACATGGTGTTAGCATTTTAGTTGTCAGATTATAAAATGGACAGATTTTAGAAATACCTAAGTTTATGCTGTTTGCTCAGAAAAACCTGAGTCTTTATATACAAGGAGATAAGTATGTAGCTAAGTAGATATGTAGTTGTACATAATTTTGTCTGGCTGCTACTGCTCTAAGGGAAATTGAAGGAGAGTTAATAAAAATCAACAGACTTTACATTGATGCGAGTGGTCTGATTTAAACATAAAATCCAACACCATTTCAATACACTTGGCAAAGCTCTTTAAAACAGCGCAGGTCTCCCCTGAATTTTTATTGCAATGAAATCACACATGAAGTTAGCGTGATGACAGGCTTAATATTAGCCACATTTTATGGTTTTTTTTCTCTTCTTAAGCTTAACATGAGGCATTTTTCTAATATGTACTATTACAGACAGACTCAGTAATACTTCCTATTCCACAGGGTGCTAATCCCTGTGTGGGACATGGTGATTACTCACAGCTGTTCTCAGAATGTAAAAGATATATTTACATCAAACATACAGACTTGGGCTGTCACGGCCAATTCTTTATGCTTGGCAAAGGACACAAGCATAAAGGCATTTTTGCAGTAATTCCTGTCAGTGTTTAATGCATTCTAACAAATGAAAAAACGGGGTTAGGAAGACTAAATTCATAACCTTTGAAAAAGAGCAGGGAATTGAATCTATGAGATAAATATTTATTATTATATATGTGTTATTTTACAGCAGTATTAATTGTTCTTTCTGAAATATTTTTGTTGGAGGAGATCATACTGGGCGAAAATGCCATCCTTTTCTATTCCCATTTCTGTGGGTTTTAAGAAAGTTCTTGATGCAATGAGCATATCTTTCTGAATTTTCACCACAAAATATTGTACAGACTTCTATAAAACACTATATTTGTGAACTACAGGTGTGTTGTCTATTCAGTGAGTCCAACTCTCTTTATACTGCGAAAACAATTGTAATTTCATGGGGTTTACCCATTTATGGCAGCAAGCAGGTCAGTAGCTTTGCTGGGCTGCACGTCTGTCTTGCCCCTTGTGCCAGCTCCTGGCATTTCCTGGAGCTGTTTGACTTGGGAGTGAAGGGTTTCCTCTGTGCTGAAGAGTGGCCAGGTGGTGGAGAGCCACCGCCGGGATTCTCCTACTGCTCACTCCTAATTACAATTGCTTGGCCGTGGTCCAGCACGCTTCTGTGATCAGACAAGCTGCAGCTGCTGTAATAACCCACCCAAAGCTGATATCAGCCCAGTCAGCCAAATGTCTGCTCTACTGCTCTCTGTGAAAAAAATAAAAACCCTCCAAGATTTTTACCTAACATAAGCATTGCTGTGGAGCTAATACAGATCTGTAGCTTTTCTCTTAATTTTCTGCCTGAAGAACCAATACCTGAAGATGACTGAAATTAAAACTCATACAGGAACTATTTACTGTTTATCATTAATAATGGATGACCATAATAATTAAAAACTGCAAACTGTAAAGGAATTCTAGAGTGGAATTTCTGTTTCTAGTTTTACACGTAAATGCTTAGAGCAAGCTTACACCTTCAAACTGTAAAATGTAGCAGCAAACTGAGCTCATTTAATTTTTGTTCTCTTGAATTGGTTATTCATTTCAGCTGTCTGTTCATTCGTTCAGTATTGCTGGTATTGCTTTCTATTTAGTTCTGCTTTCTGGCCTTGAGATGAAATTGAAGTGTTTTTTCTATTAGACTTAATTTTTCTGCTTATGGGGAAAATAGCATGTCAATATTATGGCAATTGGCTCAAAAACCTTGTTTTCACCCTAATTAGTTTCAACCTTAAGTAGCAGCAGTAGAAACCAGCTATTGTACTCTTTGCAGGGGGTGTCACAGTCAGGAAGCAGTCCCGTCACCGAGTCATCATCCAGCTCCCTGCCAATGGTGGTCGGGAGTGCCCAGACTCTTTGTTAGAGGAAAGGGAATGTGAAGCTTCTCCTGTCTGTCATAACTACAGGTATGTGAGACAATCAACCAGAAACAGCTCAGATATGATTTTTTAACTTGCACTACCTCTAGAGCTTGCTGAATTCCATTATTAGCAGTAATTGTTCTTCTAGCATGCGTATTTAGAAAAGTAGGATACACATCTGAATAAAGGTTTCACAACAGAAATATAGACTCAGTTGGACCCATAGGGAATCACTGGTACATTTTGTTCCAGCTTCTTGGAAAGAACATTGCAAGAACTAAGAATTACTTTCCAGAATAAATTTTTCCTAGAAACTGTTTTGACATTCTAAACATGTAATACAAATCTTTCTAAAATATCTAAAGTGCTGAAGTTCAAGCTTTTATGTTTAGGAGAGCTGATTTCTGGTGCCACAGGTTCAACCTTAATTTTTCTATCCCTGTAAGCTCTGAGACAGTCCAGAGCTGAAGATATCCCACATATGCCCTGTGTCCTCTGCATTACCTTGATCTTCACCACAGAATGTTGAGGACTATTCCAGAAGGTTTGGTTTATATCCAAAAATTGTTCAATTTTTGCTTAGGAAAATGTTTGGGTAGTTCTGTAATGTCTGAGTGTGTGGGAAGGTCTAGACATACAACAAGAACTTGTTGATGGAGACAAAGTTTAGAAAATTATGATGCCGTTAGATTTACTTGACAAAGTAATATTTTTTTTTTATGTATAATAACTCCCATGAAACTACTATCTGTTGCAGAGGTACAAATAGAATTTAAGCTAAGTTTACTGAAAAGAGATTGAGATTAAAGAAATGTGTTCCTTTCATCATCTCATAAGAATTATCATTGCAAATTAATTAGGAGATCACACTCTATGCAACTAAAAGATATGAAAAGATTGAAAAGAGCATTGGGGAGCTACCAAAATCAGTACTCTAAACACCAGAGAAATAGAGCTCAAGAACTTCTTATAGTCAAAATGAGAGTCTGTTTTATCTTTTAAAATGTTGGCTGCTCCTTATCTCTTTAGTATCTTCAATATCTGATCTACATGATAATGTGCTGAGCATAAGAAAGAAGAGTTGCTAGAGAGTGGTAGATGGGGTCATTTATATTTCATGACATGAACTAATACTAAACACATGTTCCATATATTTCCTTTAGCATCTTTCTGACCTGCACACATGCTGTGACAGATGGACTCACACACTCAGCTAGCTTGTGCCTTAGTTAGTTGCTGTCCCATAGAGGCAGGTTGCAATGAAACTTGAAGTGCAAAACCATTGAAATAGTTTAAAACATGCAAACTGCTGATGGATTATTTTAGAGTTGTGACAACAAACAGATTTGCCTGGATTTGTTATTTTTAAGGGCTGGGGTATTCTGCAGCACTAGCAAGGAACTTTGTAAAAGTTTCATAGCAGTTTATATTAATGATAGAATAATTTAAGCAGTGCAATATTGCATTTGTTATTGATGGTTTTTTGCAAGTTCTTTTTGTTTGTGTTTTATTTTTGATATGGTGTACCCATTGTGTTGGCTTTCTTGGTGGCTCCACATTTGTAAGGTGCTGCCACTCATCAGATCAAGATCCCAGAAATTTCCTGAGGCACCGTTGCAATCAAGCCCACTGTCCCAATACTTTCCTGCAGCTACCTTTTGTTTCTGTTTCTTATTTCTCCTTCTTCTTTCCACCTTTGCTTCCTCCTTTCTTCCGTGTGTTTTTTAAGGCCTCATCCTAAAAGAAGAAAAAAAATTAACAGAATAAGGATAAGTTTATGATACTGTTACTTCTTCTTTTGTGAATAGCCTGTGACCAGTTAGTAAATAAAAGCAACAGCTTATGGTGGTTTATAACACTATCTAGCTCTTGTGCTGCCTGAGGTTTGATGGCTACAAGATTTAGATGGATTGCTTCCCCTCTCATTTCAGGTGGAAGACACACAAATGGCGCAGGTGCCAGCTGGTACCATGGTACGTGCGCCAAGACAGTCCGGGAGCACAGGAGACTTGTGGACCTGGGCTACAAGCAAGAGGTTAGACCCTTTGTTTCTGTCATTTATTCCTCAGAAAACTGTAGATGCACTAGTGTGGGAAATGCCTTACATTTCAGTCCTTGTAACCTAATGTTTAAATTAATCTATCTTTATGTGCATCTGCAAAGGAAAATACTGAAAGTGCTCAGGGCCATGTCTCAGTATGTTTGGAGTCTCTGCCAGCCTGGAGATCTTACAGACTCTTCTGGCACTTGTTCCCTGATACAATTAGTGTGTGACCCCTTATCCTTTTGCTGCATATCTCCAAGAGCATTTGGTTGTTTCTTCTCTATACTCTCAAATTAAGGTAGTTACAGAAAGCAATGGGAGCATGAGAGATTCAAGACTTTTCATTTACACTTTAAAGTTCAGTGCCAGCCCATTTCTCCAGGTTGTCAAGGTCCTTTGAATGGCAGTCCTTCCAGGTAGGTACTGACTGCTGAAACTGTCATTGTCCTCAAGCTTGCTGAGCATGCTTTCTGTACAGGTTGTTAAAGAGACTAAACAGAACTGTGCCTGGAATTAACAACTGAGGTGAAGCAATCTTAACTAGCTGCTGGTTAGACTTCTAAACCACTGACCCTTTGAGCCCAATGATCCAGATATTTTTGCACCATTTCCATTATATAGCAAATAATTTTTACATCCAAATCCAGTTTTAATGTCACCTGTCCTTGTAGAGAATTTTGTGGCTTTGACAGAATTGTGTATGTGTGACTCTGTTAAATATAGCCAGAATAAGGGCTTTTTTAGGTGCATTAAATACATTCAGTAGGAAAATAAATGCAGTTCCTATTTACTGTGTTATAGTAATTGAATTGCTTTGAACTACTGGTCAACCTTGAATTCCAGGAAGGCTTTTCTCTTTCATTGTTTCTGAGTGCAAACTTCTATTTGTTAAAGCACTATTGGCTCAGCGGATTGCACCATTGCCGAGGAAGGACATTGTAACTGCAGAAGTGAAATGTTCAGGTCATTAACTTCCTTGCAGTATTAAAGGAGGTCATGGTGTACTTAAAAAGTTATGGAGTAAATCTTAAGCTAGTAGCTCCTACCACTTTCTCAGAAAGTGTCACAGGAGATCAATTTAAAGCTTATCACAAAATGAAACCTTAAGGCATTGCCTGCTAATACAAAAGACTTCTGGCTGTGGTAATTATTTCAAAGGTCTATCACAATGGAATCTATTTCTAGCAGCTCTGGAGGATACATTCAGATTGCACACTGAGAAAATAAGATTTCTGTCTTTGATGGTAGGAATTCAAATAGCAAAAAGTGTTGTCTTCTATGTTTACATGGTAGTACCTAAATCCCTTGACTTTGCCTCAAAGTCAGTTAATAAAGAAAGATAGTTAATAATAGTGCATGCAGATTGGATTTTTTATTATTCTTTTGTGTCATGAGAGTTGCTTTATATTTTCTTAAATGTAATTCCAATCATATACAGGGGACACAGTAGAATAATACATGATTTTGAAATTAATGGCCATGTAGTTTTCAAATCTGTTAAAACAGACTAGCAGAATTTCTCTTTGGTACTACACAGAGTTCGATCTTGTGAAAGATTATGTATTCAAGCAGTCATCATGTTCCCACAAGCAGATAAAATGCAAGTAGCTTCCAGTGTAATGTGGTCAAGTGGTAGGATGAGTAATCCTTAATTAGGAACCCCTGGAGCAGCTAAGCCTGAAGAAAGCTGGTGTTTTTGATAGAATTCTGTGCATGTTTCTGAGATCGATTGTCAGAAAGGAAGATTTTTGTTCACTACTGCTTTTTGTCAGGTCTGTTCCATGTATAAATTTCACTGTAGAATTCACAGAGCAAATTATTCAAATTGGAAAACAAAAGTTTATTTGTACCTCAGTCCAGATATCAAAATATGAATCTAAATGTTGTTTAGGCCTCTGCAGTGGTGAAAGTTACAGGCATTAAAGACAGAGGGGGTTTTGGCCAATATTTTTTCTCATTTATGTAAATTATGTAAATTGACATATAATATAAGTTTCAGTCTCAGATTTATTATGTATCATGTCTCAGTGTTGTAATATCTCACAATGTGTTGACCATATCTTTTATATTCAGTAATGTAAACTGATAATCTGTGTCAGCTAAACACGGTAGTACAGCTTTTCCTTAGATTGACAGAAGTAAAATATTTTCCCTTTACAATGAATATGACTTGGAAGTACAAGCTGAATTTTTGCACAAAAATAAATTTCACTTTGGAAAATACACTTCTCTAATTCTAGAGATTATCAGCTATTTTTTTTTTTAATTTTTTTTTTTTTTTACTTCACATCTCAGAAAATTGCATTTTGAACATGAATAGTGTGTTTTATGATACTATAATTTATCTCCCACACAGGGCATCAATTCTCTATCCTCTCTTATCTTTCAAATTCTGCCATCAAAATAGCCATGTGTGAATTTTAAGTGATACACATTATTTTTTTTGGCCCCTTGCACAAGAGTTGATTTCATGTGAGGTGCTCACTGAAGAGAGGCTGACCTGAAAGTAAACATCTGCCTGACTGAGCTGTGCAGTGGACAGTATTAGAGAGATTTCACCAGTTCCTGAAGGAAGACTTCAGAAGTTTTATCTCCTCTCTCTCTTGATTCTTGGCTCCCTTCTGCACACTTGGCTACTCCTAAATAAAATTTCTATAGGCTATGGAAAACTTTGCATAATAGTATGTCAGTAAAAAATTCTGTACTGTAAATAATTTCTTTAATAGCTATTTTGTGATAGCAGATGAGATACAGAAGAGGCCGAGCTACTACTGTGCAACTCTTTTTAACCACCCCAAAATCACAAAATGCTAAATACTGAAATATGAAATGCATTTGGTATGACATTCTGGTGCTGCATTTATGATTGCTACTGTAATACAGATATTTTGATCAGTACATTTAACTGTTTGTTGATGAATTCTGTACAAATATTGACCATATTGTGAAAATTGTTGACATACCAGCATTTTTTTCCAGTTGAGAAAGCGTTCTGTTTCAAGTTTCTGGTGCTCATGCATGCAGAAATCACACATTGATCCATCTGTTTGTGCCAATTTGCTTTTGGTGACAAAACAAAACAATTATATTTTAGAAGTAATCTCTGCTATTTGGTTTCCCATGCACTGCCCCTGCGTTTTGTGTTGATACTCAGTAGAGCAAGTAATTCCATTCTTCTTTGTGGAAAGGGTTCTGAGTTCCTCTTTTTCAATGCAAGGGGATGCTGCCCTTACTCTCGGCTTGTCCTGTTTCTGATCTGATTGCCCACACACAAACACTGTAACACATAGATTATCAGCAAATGTGTTAAATGAGAAAGTATAGGAATGTACACCAGGGAAAAGGCACATCTGACCATGCATTCATTAGCAGTTTATTTTGAACAAAATAGTCAGCTACTGTTAACGTTTTAGTTAGAAAATTAAATCTGAAGGAAAAACTAGAAATTAGAAATCGTTAAAAATTACTGGTTAGGTGTCTGATCTTAGGGGTCTGTGAGGAACTAGAACATGCATGTCTTGCTTTGTATCACAGTTTTACTATTTACACTTCCATTCTTCAGCTTTTTTTATCACATTTTGTCCTTCTTGGCAAATGAGATACTTGGTTGAATCATAAAGTTTAGAATTGTGATTCATTGTTAAAGACAGATTTTTTTTCTATCTGTCTTGTATAATGAAGGTTTTGTTACAAATCATGTCAAGTTAAATGAATGTCGTAAAACTGTAACGGGTCAATGCAGAGGAAGGAGAATAAAAGAGCTTGATGGTTTCTAGGTTTTGTTTAAAAAAATAATTTCTGTAGAAGTATTTTTTTTAAAGTGTTTGTTAGCTATTCATGCAAATAATGGACAAGTATTTATATCTAATCCTAAGCACAGCAAAATAGCCTTTAATACTGAACAGCAAATTCATTACTGTAGTCATGAACTTTATTTGAAAAAGGTCGGTGGTCATGACAATTGTATTGAATTCCTATGATTAATGAAAATCTGAATTTGTACCACTGATAAAACGCCTTCTAACAGTGGGTTAGCAGAGCAGGAGTGTGTTACAGAACTGAAGCAACTTAAGACTTCTGTCTTTTGTTCAAAACCCTCAAGAGGAGATGATATGTGTGCATCAGCAAGGAGTTTGAAACTTCCTTTTGACCCTACCCAACAAGAAAAGGAAATACAAAGAAAATCCATATTTGACTGCAACAACATATATGTTTATTTTCATAAGCTGTTTCTCAACTAACAAGATTATTTGATCAGATGCATTGATGAGTCACCTGAAATCCAGGAGAGAGAGGCACAGTGGTGACAAATGCAAAATACACCCTCCCCTGCTCCAAGAAAATAAAAATGACAACCACCAGCCAAAGACTAGACAAGAGAATAAATGCTTAATAAAACCAAGCTACTAAGTTTGAAATTGTGAACAACTTAGGCAGGTACGCATGATGTTATGCTCATCCCTTAAATCTGTGTTAGTAAATCTCAGCTTCAGTGACTTGTGAAGGAACTCAGAAATACAGCTCCCTTTTAAATTGTGTAGGAAAATCTAAGAAAGTTAATAAAACTTGTTTTGCCAGTAGCTCCTGCAAATTTAAGTAGGGCTTGTTGGGCTGCATCCCAATGGTAATAATGAAGAGGACATGTAGCAGATGAGAAGCTCGAGTGCCCCAACTGCAACAACTGAATCACATTGTGATGTATATGGATGGATGCACATGGGAAGAGCCATCTCAGGGACCAAAAAGAGATTTGCAGAAGGCAGCCTGCAGTCCTTGCCACCATGAATCTTCCTCAGAGTTTTGTAGGAGGAATGGGATAAAAGTTGTGATGTCAGCACATTCTGTAATAGCAAGAGGAAGGTTATTTGTAAATTTAAGCAGAAGTTAAAGTAACCTGGCTGTCAGAGAAAATACCTGAATAGCGGTGCTTTATGTCACTGGGAATTGGCCTTTATTAAAGGCCTGGTCTTGAGCTCTCACTGTTCTTCATT